GGGATGTGGTCTTTCCTGTCTCCTTTTTCTAAAAGCCTCAAAGCTTGAGGTATCTTTTATTAATTTCAGCATGTTATATGTGATATTACACTGGCTATACATATGAAAAGGAAGTTATTTTCAGGATTTTATTTTTTCATTTTTAAAGCAGTTAAAATTGGTGTCATATATAGATTCCATAGGCATTTGGAAAGATTCTAGATGATAAAATTTTAAAAAGAGAAAGGTCTCTTTTTAAAAAGGGTGATTATATAGAGTAATCTGAAAGTGAGTGAGGACAGTTGTAACAGTTCTTAATATTGTATATTACTATAAAAATTTAACATATAAAGGATTCTTAATATTATTCTAAATTAGAACCAGATTTATGACTTTTCAGTAAGTTGTAACATTTTGATAATCATAACAAAAGACTACTTTTCTTTCTGGTTTTTCTGTCATACCTACTTTCTTTTCCTTTTTTGGGTAATGAATATTATATTGGGATTTTCAAGATCTCTAGACAAGCTGTCACTGAGAATTAAGTGCAGAATAAATTAAGCCTTCCTCAGTTTTACTTACTAGCAAAAATTATTTTGGAACATTAAAACTTCAAGTTGACACACAATTCTGGGTTGCTATTACTACCACATTGTAGTAATAGCAGACACAGAAACTTTTTCAAGAATCCATGTATGAGGATATCTGTAAATGTTAGATTTTTTAGCGGCTTATCACAAACTACACAAGTTGATAAAACAGATATTAGACTGAAACAAAAATTTAAAAAATCATTTAATCAGTATGTCCAGCAGTGAGTTATAAGTTACTTTGAACACTGGTTATACAGAACGTTTATTGTAAGGAAAGAAATGTATTTTATACAATTTCAAAATAAACTGACGCTTCTGAACAAGATTCTGTTTATGGATCTTTTCCTGAAGCACTTAATCATTGCTAACCAAGTGGAAATACTGCTCTGCCCACGTCCTCTGCTTCGAAGGACTTTAAACATTTTTATAAACAGCAAGGAAGTGTACTCTTACACACTGTATGCTACCCATTAGTGGGTGGAACCGGATCTTCCTCTGATATTCGAAGAAAAATGGCAATATGATCTCTCTGAACTTCAGCCTGTAAATGGAAGTAAAACCTGTGCTTTCTCTGAGGGTCCGTCTAGGAATCCCTCCCAAAGTTATTGCCATTTAGTATAGTTAATAAGGTATGTTTCTCATTCTGACAGGTGCTCCAGCCTCGACCAGAGATCCGTTCACACTGCCTCTGATGTAGCCATCTCAAAAGCTACTTTTGCCAAATGATTTGGGGTTATACACATTTTCCAATTTGAATGGCAATGCACACAGACTTCACAAATCTTGCACCAGGAATAGCTAGCCCTCCTTAGCTGTATCCTTTCTGTACAGGCATGTGAGGCAACTGATCAATAAGTAAAACAAAAACCCCCACTTGTATTCAGCATTTTGACATTCAAGACTGGAATTGATTATGGAATGAATGAAAACTCCACTCTTACAAGATAAATTGAAGGAAAGATTGATTCTGTCAAGGATATTATTTTCAGTGTTTCCTTGATAAGTATTTCAAAGATTAGATGCATTTGAATTTTCTTGTCTTATACTTAAAACTCTGTTTTGATTCAGAGACACTATTGCCCAGCTACCTTTAGTTGATATAATAAATATCATCTTTCTCATTTCATCTAAATGTAATATGATGTGAAATTACAGTAACTCCTCACTTAACATTGTAGTTATGTTCCTGAAAAATGTGACTTTCTCGAAACGACGTTAAGCGAATCCAATTTCCCCATAAGAATTAATGTAAATTGGGGGGTGGGGGGCTAGGTTCCAGGGAATTTTTTTTTTGCCAGACAAAAGGCATTATATACATTTTAAACATTTTTAAACAAGCAATTTAATACAAGTACAGTATAAGTTTTAAACAATTTTAAACAAGCAATTTAATATAGGTATTAAACAGGTTGGCAGTCCCCCATCAGGCCCCCTACATCCCACCCAGTGCTTCCCGCCCGTCGGCAGACGCAACGGATCAGCGCCTTCCCCCTGCTCCTCCCGCCTCCTGCCCGCGGCAATCAGCTGTCTTGCGGTATTCAGGAGGCTGGGTGGAGGAGCGAGGACGCGGCACATGCCCTGCCTCCTCCCCTCAGCCTCCTGACCGCCAAAAAACTGCTGATTGCCACAGGCAGGAGGCACGGGAGGGAGGGGGGAGGCTGCGATATTTGGCCCAAGATTTTAATATGAATTTTATACTAATTTCTGTAAGTCTCACAAGAGGTGAGATAGCTTTATAGTAGTAAGACAATAAAACAATGGGAAGAGATCTCCATGAAGCAACTATGTCTATAAATTATTTTTTGGGGGGGAAAATCCATTCTTTCTGATGTAAATGGAAATCCATATACCAAGGGATGAAATGGAGATGAGCTGTTTTAGATTTGCCAGATAAAAAAATTCAAGGGATGTGTTAGTTTGCCAAAACCTTTTCTTCATTCTAAATATCTTTTGTGGTGACTAGCTTCCAAATAAAAATGTAATAATACTTTTCACATGAAACTTTTTAATGACTTATGGAAAATAAAGTTCAGAAGGCAGTTTAGATCTTAAAAATGTGAAGAAAGGAAGAGTAATAAATGATGTTTGAAGCACACAGACTTTTGCAGATGTTATGGCTAACACCCTGAAAAAACAGCCTAGGTTTTTAAGTTTGATGTCTTCACTGATCATAGCGACTGCACAGTAAATGTTAACGCAAGCAATAAATACTAAATTGACAACGGTTTATTATTGGGTCAACATCTTTTGAGCCTTTTGTAAAGGATGTAGTTAATTGATTAATATTCTGTTTTTTGTAAAGTGGGAAAATTGCTGATACTACTACATGGATTCTTACAATATTTACTTGTAAACCTCAGTGTAAAAAAAGATTTTAGTACTGAATGAGCACAACACTATGATGGCTGATGAGAATTACATTGTGTTTACTTCTTGCAAAAGTACTGTAGCAAATCTTTTGCACAGATGTAGTAAACAGAATTTGTGGAATCCATTCTGGTAGCTGAGATGGTGCTTATGACTACTGGGGAAAGTTATTATTTTAAATATCCTTTTCTAAGCAGCCAAGTCATCATCTTGAAGGTTTGATTGGATGGAGGAACCATCTGATTTTTTTTTTATTGCTTTTTGTATTTTCCAGATGGAAATGAAGATCTGTGGATAAACAATGAAAACCATGGTACTCTTGGTGTCTAGGCAACTATTACGATTATTTTGGTAGCCAAATATTTGGCCAGATACTTATCTCAATAATTTTAAAATAAGCTAACGTACCGGTGATAAAATAACTGTTTTTGAAAGAGATGGGGGGAAATGCACCTGCAAATGAGATGGAAATGGAGCCCTTGAGTCTCTTCATGTAGAACAAGGAAACATCATGAGAACTCAATAGAAGACATATGTGAGATCTTTAGTAGACTTTCACTTTTGATCCAGACATTCAACTATTTTATGCTAATTTCCAAATTTTTCTGCTGGATACAGCTTTGACTACATTTGTTTTGGGAAGGCCATATTTTCTAAACAACCAACAACTGTTGCTGACAGTGAGGATTTTGCACTAGGCAGCTTAGTTGGTGGTCCAGGTAGTTTGTTTATCTGAGATGTGAATTATTTTAACAGAGACTGATATTTTATGTGGTATCATTTATTCCGTAATTGGCCTTTTGTGATTGATCAACTTAGTCAAGATACAGATGAGCTCAAACATGTTTTCCCCGGGCATCGGTCTCACCTTCCCTGTCAACAAACCCAATATCGCTAAAACTAACCTCCAGCCATAAGATAATGACAGATAACTCATCCAATACTGCTCTTGGACTGATCAGCAAGTAATACTTTTGAAGTTAAATGAATCTCGTTGAATTCCCACACTACTCCCAGCCTCTGATGGCCAGGGAAGTAAGAGACCAAACACATGCTTTCTTTCACAAGACAATATGACCTTGTTACCAGTTATGTTCAAGCATAATGTTATATTTATATTTTCAGAGCTCTAAAATTACTGGGTTTGATTCAGGTGGAGCATCAGATTATGCTAGGTCCCCAAATGGCTTGCAGATATCAAGCAAAACCCTAAAACTGGACTGTGCTGAGTGGGAAGGGGTGTGGCCAGAGGACACATTGCCTCTGGACATCCAATGGGTAGCTTCTGCTGGCATGGTTCCTCTGAGCCTCCATTGTAACTCAAAACTGTCTTTCCTAACTGGTACCCCCTGGGGGAGAGTGGTGGTGCCTCCCCCAGAAGTGAATCAAGTGAGTATATACCATTCTAGAATGGACTTCTGTCCAGTTGGGTCCTAATTTTGCTCCTATTGAAATCAATGGCAAACTCACAGTGACTTCAATAGGAACAGGCCTTTAAATGTTTGTAGTCTTGGTACATCAACTTTCTGAACAAGATAAAATATTACCTTTTCAGAATGGTGTCTGACAATTTGGACATAATACCTGACATTTATTAGTGTGTACACAAGAGAATAAGTAACTGAACAGTTAGAGAATGTGTGGCATACACAGTCTGCAGAACGATGATTTTATGTATAGAGATAAAATGGAATATGCTACACCTATTGAACTCACTAATGAACTGAACTCAACTGCCAACAGTGGGATATGATTGTCTGCATTTTTGTCCAAACTTTATAATTTTTGTAATAAGAAATACTACATATTTTAACCAAGATATTCATTTCTGTACTTCTCCTTGGCTTCTGATAGAATTGAAATTTTGCAGATGTGCATAATTGGATATAGTACTATGCCAGACAAATTATCCAAAGTAGATGTGCAAAATCACAGGTATAAAAATTGAACTGATAACATTACAATTTAAAACTGATTTTCATGCTTAATAAACTTAATTAATATAATTCTAGCCACATGAATTTAAACTTTCAGCCACTATTATATAAGAGTGACACTTACCCTCTTCTGTTCTTTGATATATTCCATCAATTCCTCTCTTGTTCTTTTCACAGCTTCTTCCACAGCCTTTTCACTTCGTTTCTGTTCTTCCATTATTGCTGCCTTAACAATTTCCTGTAACAGAAAAGTAAATCTGATAACAGTAAATTGTATACATGTACGTATCTATATTTCAAGTATTTCAGGGGCACAGGGAAAAGTCTCTCAGAATTCATCCCATTCTTTCTCCCAAAGAGTTGGTTAGCTGAGTGCACTCTTCCTACAATCATGGTTATCTCCAATATAAATATCTATACATATGCCTAACAATACATTCAATATTCTAATCCCTACATTATGCAAAGGAGAGAGCTAGAACTAATCTAAAGCTGCATTTGTAGAAGTAAGTTTCTCACCTGTCAGCAAAAGGAAAGTATAATGAAGCAATTTTCAGGCATTAAATTTCAACAACAAGTAGGAGTACACTGCTTCCTACTGAGGTCAATTAGGGTATGGCTACATTGCAGTTAAACACCCTCATCTGGCCCATGTCAGCTGACTCAGGCTTGTGGGGCTCAGATTGCAGGGCTATAAAAATGCAGTGGAGACATTTGGGCTTGGGCTGAAGTCTGGGACCCAGAACTTAGAACTAGGGATGTTCTGACACAATCATGTGTATAAGACCAAAAATCAGGAACTAGTTTCCCTGTGATGTGCTATAGTATTCCAGAAGATTGCAAAGGAAGAAGTAGTAGAATTGAAGTTGGGTTTGGGGGAAAATTGTATTACCCTGGATCAACTCTGATACACCACTGCAAATGTACTACTGTGGATAAAGCCATGGGCAGCCTTTTCAAACACATCTTTCCTTTCTAATACATCTTCTGTGTACAGGTTACAGGCTTAGGCAGCAGTACATTAGCCCAAGCTTTCTCTCTCTTCACTCAAAACACACGGGTTACATCCCAACCCAACGGAGTCAACCATAAAATTTCTAATAGTGAAACTCAGTTGGACAGGAGTTCTGGTTAACAGCAGTTCAGGAGCACAAGGATGTACTGTACAGTACCTTATATGGAGAAGAAAGAAATGCTAGCAAAAGAGTAATTTTGGATTTGTACTTTTCGACTTTATTACAAAACTATATAATAAGGTTCACTAGATGTAATGCTGAACTATGTTTTAGGATTTGGAACAAACTAAATATCTAGTACTGTGCATCTGTTAAGCAACTGGCCAGACAAAGCTACAGATAAACTCACAATATATTATCCACTGAACACAAGCGTGTTATAAAAAGTTATGGACTCGGTTCAGCCAGATTTTAAGCAGTGTAAGGCCTGGTATAGGGCCCTGGAAGATGAAAGTCCATCATGAGGAGAGTGCATTGATCAGAAGCAGCTTTACATGTCATCACAGCTCAAAAACCGGGTAGTGCACACTGTGAAAAGGAGGTCTTGGAAGAGAGAGACACCGGGCTCTCTCCATGAACTAAAGATACTCTCTCCTACGTCTTTCCTGGCAAAAACCCAAAGGAAAATGGCAACAGAAGTACCACATGTGCTCCTTTAAGGTGAATTTCTACTTAGGCACAAGGGAGCTAGTTGGAGCAGGAAGGTGCAATTTGATCTCTAAGAACCACCTTGGTGAATCTGACCCTATATTTTGTACTTTACTCTAAAGAGGACCCAGTAACGTAAGGAGCAAACTATGTCACAAACTTCTTACAGGACATCCCTTACAAAAGGAGAATATAAAAATGAGTGTACTAACAAGAGAGCTGGTTGAAAATATTGCTTTTCCTGGGGAAAATTTTGACTTTTCTGAAAGAAGAAAAAAAAACAAACAAACACTCCCCCACCCGCCCCCCCCAAATAAAAACAAACAAACAAACAAAAAATCCACACCAAAATCTTTGGGTTGAAAACCAAAAATTTCGATTCAGAAATGCCACTGCAGTACCTAATGAGAGCTGTAGTTTGGGTGCCTTATTCCTCCATTCTCTTCTATGGGCTAGCTTTCCTGGCCAGATTACATCTCCCATGAAGCACCTAAATAAAAGTCTGGATTTTCAAATCTGCTAAGCACCCAGAAGCTCCCAATGAAGACAAAGGGAAATGCAAATGCCTGCACTTTTGAAAAACAGACACTTAGGTGCCTAAATATGAATTTAGGAGCCTTTTATGCATCTATTTTTGAAAATCTTGGCCAGTCTCTCTCTCTCTCTGCCCATGGACACAGACACAACAGAGTGAAAGTCAATGGGAGTTAGGCACCTACTGCTACTTCTTCCTTTGAAAATTTCCCCCATTACAATCCATGCAGTGCATTTGAAGACAAATGTAAAGGCAGAAGTGCAGAATTTCTAAGCGGAAGCTGAGAAGTCATTTCTGTACCTGAGACCTTGAAATTTCCTCATCCTGTGAACAAAATTTCATATTAACTGCCATATAGACATTGTCCCTCTAGCTGCTCTGTTGAAATGTATTTGCCTTGAAATTCTGCTGAAAAATATAACAGTGAATTATTTAAAAGAATCTTATGGCAGAGGAAAAAATATGAAAAAAATGTATCCTGAGGCACATGGCTTCATAGTGCCCGTTTATTTTAGGTTACTGGATTATGCATAGCAAGGGGCAGTGCTTGATTTTGGTAGAGAATCACAATCACTTAGTGTTGCTGAGGGCATGGATGCAAAAAAGTTAGGATAATATTTAGTTTTGGGGGGACTTCCCAAGGCTGTTGAAGTAGCTACAGTAATGCTTTATATATAAGCATTATATTTTAAAGTAACTTCTAAAATAATCTGAGAAATTTGTTATTTTAAAATATAAACCTGAGGAGCAAACCAATTAGTTTTTCAGACTGAAAAGTGATGGATTATTTTCTGTTACTTCTCTTGCCATTCCTACTCTGATCATGAAGTCAGAACATTCATGGCATCCATTCAAGACAGATTCAATATGCATTGTGCAACTTGCATGCACAAGCAAAAATAATCTAGAAGTAAAGAACACATTTGTCACTTCTATCAGAAAAGAATCACGAATAGGTAACTAATTATTTTTTCAGATGAAGTTATCCATGGTTTCTGGACTCATGTCACAATGGATGTATTCACCTGGCTCTCAAATCAATTTAGGATTGCCTTGCAATTAGGCTTCATTTGTAGCTACAGACACAACACTTCAGCATGCCATCTACTAAGGGAAACTGACTCGGAGGATCCTAAGATCATTGACAGTTTCCCTTTTTGGCTGGCTCTATGTATAAAGAGCTAGATTCAAAGGCAAACTAACTATATTCTGTGTTTATAGTTTCAGCAAGTGCAGAAGTTCTTTACACACAGAGTTGGCTGAAAGGGAAACTGACTAGAATCACACCATTCTAGTCGTTTTCCCTTTGCAGCCAACTCACTGGAGCACTGTTTCAGTTACTGTGGCTGGCAGGACCAAATATAAGTGCAATCTTAAATTACTGTGATGGCTGCATTAATACCTCCAAGCAGCAGAGACTCTGGGAGAGACAAGCAGAGAAAGGCTGAGAGAGAACTGTGAGGGCAGAAACAGTGGTGGTCCTAATGGTGATTCACACAATATTTTCCACTGAGTGATGATAAATGCAACAGTTTAAACTTACTAACTACAACATAAAATCATTACACAAGGGCTATACTCTACCCTTGAACTTGGCTATATTTTACCCTGAACATGGGAGGTCCACAGTAAACAGAGGCCTCTTATTTTGAAGACTAATTAAAAATGTAATTCAGCCTTCATCACAAAATGAGTTTGACACACCTGCAGTAACGAGTAATTTGTAGTAGACTTTTTTATAACCTCATACAAATGTAATGATAACGAAACGTGCCAGATTGCGTGTGTTGGAGACAGAAGTTCTCTATTTAGCCACAAAACAGGCACAGTGTCACAGCAGTAGTGACAATATCCCCAAACTATCTTGCCAGTGTCTCTCAACCCTGCTCTGGAAGGATCACCTAAAGGGATGACCGGGCAATTCAGATATCTCTGATTTTCTTCTTTTAAGTATTGTAATTGGATTTAAGTATTGGAGAGATCTCTCGTCTGAATCCTCTCTCCACTGTAAAATCTCTGATACCATTCAAGGTAGAAAAATACTCATGGCTGATATATTCAGAAAGCCATTCAAATAGGTCCCAATATAGAAAACCATTTAAAGCACATGCTTAACTTCATCCCTACTGAGGAAAGCACTGAGACACGTGCTTAAATCCCATCTTGACTTGAATGGGCTTTAAACGTGTTTAAATGCCTCCCTGCATCAGGGCGATGGGACAATAACGGGAAACCACCAGTTCTGAAAGTGATACACTACGACTCTTAAGTCAATTTGCTAAACTCACGTTGTATTTTAATCGAAAGACTAGAAAACCACTGAAGAGCCTAAAGTTAGTTATTGTTTCACCACTCCTATTTTTTGTAATATAGAGTAAACATGCTATTGCAGCTAAACTGTTTATGAGAAACAAAAATCTGAAGCAAACCACCATTTGCCTGTGGGTTATAAGCCACAACATAACTTGACTGCATACGAGAAATAAATATAACTTTATCTCTTTATGAGATACGTGGCCATTATCTCATTACAAACTGACTAAACAATAGATCTTTCCTGCAGAAAAATAAATCTATTTTGAAATGGTATGGGTGATATACTGGAATGATCCATCTATATCCCAAAAGTACTGAAAAACTAAGTTATTCAAAGTTAAGAAAAACTCCAGCCTTCTTCTGGAAATCATTCAAGATGTAAATATTTTTTCCCTTTTCACAATCGTACAGAATTATGTTTCTAAAATTAGAATCAAATAATGCCAGAGGGAACACCACTAAATGGTGTGCTGAATATTGTCAGGCAAAAAAGAAAAAATCCCACACACTTTATTGTAGTACTTAAAATGTATTCATTTAAAGCATACTGGTTATTCATATATGAATGAAGACAAAAGAATCAATATAAGGAGAGATAATTTAGTTCTAGAGCTTTTTGTGAGCTCTGTTCATGGCCACCTCTAAACATTTGCTTGCTTTGTTTGACTACAAATTTAAGCAAGTGTTTTGTAATGCTATTAACATTTTTCAACTATACAGTGA